CACAGGTGGGCATCTTTAAGTGAATACAAGCCATCAAAAAATGAAGTCTGAGTGTAAAACAGACACCAGGCGCCCATTCCTTTCCATTATGCTGTCAAGCTTTCCTTTCTCATCCTATCATGCCCAATCATGCTCCTTAAACACAGGCCGTCTAAGCTCCTTTCAGAGAAAACGAAAATTAGGTCCTGACTATTAGATTCCCATTTGGGACTCAGAGACCAAGTCTAGACAAACATTTCATGTCACACCCTAACACTCTGCGGTCCTCCCTCCCCCATTCACCCTTACTTTTCAGAGACATTGTTCAAACTGGACCAAAACATAGTTTTAAGGCAGGAATCCTAAAACTTGCCTCAATGACTACACCTCCCTCCCTGAAAAAAAACTTTTAGCCAAACAATTGTAATGATTGTCTCCTTTTAGAAACAGCTGCTGCCAAAATAAACATTTGCATTAAAAGAAGTGTTCTGGCTGTTAAGATGGCACCAAATAAAATTCTTATGTTCTGAAATAAATATTTTACACAAAATACAGCAAAATAGACATTAAGTTAAAGGCAAATTAAAATACCTATTGATTCTTAAAATTTTTTCAAAGAAACTCGTTTTTTAATTTTATTTAGATTTAAGTCTTAAGTGCAGATATTACCTTAACAAAAATAATTTATATTTAATTTTACCACACTATCTTTCAAAACAACAATTATATTCCGTGTTCTTCTTGTTGTGAACTTCTTCACAATACCGATGTGTTTTCAAAAACTAAAAAAGTCCTCTTTGCACATTATAAAAGCACTCATGAACTTATATCTCTCGCTCTGCCCTCTTTCCCTTGCCCTGGTTTTATGCCAGCAGGCATCAGATGATACAAACATCTGCAACAAGGTAAGGATGGTTAAAATATCGACCCAATAACCCTGATACCTCAAGAAAAATCTCACACTATATAATCTGCTCGACACAAATAAATGTACCTTTGTTTATGTAGCCTATCTCTCCTGGGTGCTATTTCATTTATATGAAAAATCTCTCTTTAAGGCAAGCCACATAGGCCTATGTATACATTTACGATCACCAAGGACTAGAAAAAAAGAAACAAAACATTTGTTTTGTTTCTCTGATCTAGGAAAGGATATCTTGCTGTTTTTTAAAATAATTGAAAAACCAACAAAGAGTCGGAATTTAGCACCCTTAAAGATTATACATCCTTTGTGCAGTTTTGCATTAGATGAAGTCTACCAGCGAACTTCTATTAACCACCCCCCAGGTTAGAATTCCAGGATCCCAGGGGCAGAACATTCTGCAGGAGGCACTGAACATTCATTTCCCCTCTAGACTCCATAAAAACCCAAGCAGACTATTTTTTAAGGCACACAGCAAAACTAATCTGTTTAGCCATGTATTTGCTAAACATGATGGTGTGGGAGAATCAGCAAGTGAAAGACCACAAATCTAGTTCCAGTTAATAAATACCAAAATGATGTACTATTATCACATCATGCTTCAAAGACCAGTCATGAGTGTATTTCAAAAATAAAATTATCACCATACAAATCAAGAATTGCCAGGTTAGTACTAAAATCAAACACTGAGTGGCCAGCCCCTCCGGCCTCTCGGAGGCAACACGCAAGCAGCGACGCTGCCCCCGCTCGGCGCCCGGCGAGCGCTGCGGTTCCGTCTGACAGATGCTCATTTCAAATTCCTGTCACGGGAGTGGAATGCCGGCCAGGAACCAAACTGCGACCCTGAGCCAAAGACAACTTACCACTCAGCTGGTAAGTGGGCAACTCAATTTACAAACTTGAATTCCTACATTTTAATCCTTTGCAGAAATATATGAGCAATATTAAATGAACTGGATTCAGCTCATTAGAGGTTCACAAACCAAGCACAGAAAGCTTTGGAGGCTGTCCAAAGCAAAGTCATGCCTAGGTGCTGATGTCCACTCGGTAAAAGCTCCATGTCATCATCATCTTTCAACTTTTTCCCTGAAGAACATTAGCAACCATGACTACAGCAGGGCTCAGACAATCGCACCAATGCTAGGAGATGAATCGTCCAGCAGCCAATCACTGAGCCAGGACTTTGTGGGCAAGTTTATAATTACCCAAAAGTCACACACAACGCAACTCAGCGAAAATTCCTCACCAACGAGCACAAATCAAAGCTAACAAAATAAATATTCTAATGACCTTTACCAAAACCTTCACTTCTTTTCTATTTCAAAGCCAACCCCTAACTGATCACATGAGCTTACTATGATAAAAACCGCATGTTCCCTTTAAAATGTCACATTCAAAAATGCATTCACAATTAGGTTTCACCTTTCAGATTTCAAAACAAAACAGCGTATTCAAGGCTGTATTATAACTAACGAACAGGTGAAAAGCAGTAAAGACTTTTTTTTAGAACCGTCAATTATGATGACCTCAATAAGCACGTGGGACATTTCACAGCCAGGGCCTCCGTTCCTCACCAAGCACAGCATCTCCCTTTCGTTATCAGAAAGACGTGTGTATAGAATCAGGCTTCTTTTGGCTGGCAGTAAAATACCTAACCTAAAACTTTAATTAAAAAATTGCTGATAAAAAAAGAAAAAGGACTCCTGGATGCAGACAACAGCGTGGCGACTTGCGGGGGCAGGGGGCGTGCGAGGGGGGAGAATGGGGGGCGTGGAAGAGGTCATACGGCGGATAAATGGTAAGAGGAAAAATACAGTTAGAAAAGGAAGAAAAAATTTTTTTACTTTACTGAAATGCTTCGTAGGTAATCTTCATCAATGTGCCCCTTCAAATAAATGCAACAGTTACTGGATTTCACAAGTACTTAAAAGCCGCAGAGATAAAATAAAACCACAAAGCCAAGAACACTGAGGCTACTGTAATATGTTCTCTACTTTTAGCCTTACACATCTTGGGGAGAAAATAATGAAAAAATTCCTAGATCATCATCCTTCTCATACCTTCTCCAACTGTTAGAGTCCCACCTTGGGACTGCAAACTAAACCAATGTCAAAAACTCTGAAGACGACTTAAATTCATTCAGAGAAAATGACAAGGGAGCATCCAGCAGCATACCAGGAAGGCACCGTTTGAAATGACTTTCCAGTTTCTCATCAGCAAAACACAGTGCAGAGGACAGTGAGGCAATAAGAAGCCCCTCGCCTCTGGTCCCCTCCACAGGGCCTGCTATTTCTTACCACCTTTCTGCCTCTCCTCTCTTCCCAAATGAAATCAGCTATCGGACAGAGAGATGGCGTCACCAGCGAGCTGTCTGCGCCTTCTTTTCCTCAACTAAAGCCAAATTAGCTTTAAAGAAAAAAAGGAAGAGGGAGAGGAAAATCACAACTCTCCTCTTACTTTTCAAATCCTTTACAAGTTATCTCCCTCTCACAATTAACAGTCTCAATTAAAGATTTTTACTCTAGATAGTAAAATACTGCTGGAAGAAAGGAGTAATGTTGGAAAAAATTAAGAGTACAACTAAGTTTGCAACTGACTGCTAGACTTCTCTGTGGCCAATCTTTCATGAACAGGGCGAGAACTTCTGATGCTATGGTGGCCGTGGAAAGAACCAAGAGCAAGGACGCCAAAGCCGACCTAATTCTATCTTTCCCTACAACTGCTGAAAATAAAAATATCGCCAATGGAGAAGCAAAGGGAAAGAGGAAGGACAACAAAAGAAAAGGCTCAGATGCAACTTATCTGTGAACTTTCAGAACACAGTTACGCTGCATGTATGAATTACCACTCTCTGATCTACTTGAGAGGGAACAAAAGTGCCAGACAATGTTTTTATTTCCACAAAGGATTTCTGGTCAAGCATGAGGAAGAACTTCCCGAGAGAAGTGCCAGGAAACCCTGTGGGGTGGGGCACGGCAACACCAGGGCAACCCCTTTGTGGAGGCAGCCGGCTGCCCAGAGCGCGGGCCCACGCACCCAGGGTGAAAGGCACAGGAGGGCGTTTATCAATAGGCCATTCTGGTGTTCCTAGTAATGAAATACCCTGACAAGTCAGAATCTAATGCACTCTTTCCAAATTTCATGCATCCAAGAGACTGCAGGTTTACTACTGTTAGAAGGTAGGTGGTCATTTAAGGTCACTCCAACTATTTGATTCTAGAGAAAAATACTGGATCTTAAAACATCTTTGTCTGTTTTAATTAAAAACAGAAAACCCATGAAAATCTAAGAAAACAGATACACAGCAAATCCTCTTCTATGAAATACAGAGATTTTTTTTCAAAAGCTGCAGGAGAACCCTGACCGGTGGTGGCTCAGTGGGTTGAGCTCTGTGCCACAGAGCGAAAGGTCGCCTGGGTTTGATCCCGGTCAGGGCACGCGCCTGGGCTGTGAGTTAGGTCCCCTGCGCAGACGAGAGGCAACAGCACGAAACCCAACAGATCAATGTTTCTCTCTCATATCGATGTTTCCCTTTCTTTCTCCCTCCCTCCCCTCTAAAAATAAATAAATAAAATCTTTTTTAAAAAAGGTATAGGAGAAGTAGTATGTTAAGAAATAAAAGCAAATAACTTTTTAGGAAACGAAAAAACAGTTTCTCAGTTGATGCTATCTTCATGAGAAAGACCTTGAAATAACTTAAAACTTTGCCTTAGGAAGTCTATTCACAGCTCAAAATCTGACACAGTCTGACACCAGAAATGGTTAAAAACCAAGTTCACTTTGGGGCTAAGACCTATATAATTTGCTGCAAAACGATGACAGGGTACATGTTTCACATACGGCTGGTAATGCTGGCCTTCTACCAAACAGGCTTTTTGTTCACTTTGTTCTAAGAAGATTACCTTTCCTTCTTTAAAAGAAAGGGAAAAATATATACCTGTGATTATTTGAAAAAACTATGAAAATTTTTTTCAATGCAGAAAATCAGTGAAATGCCCCCTAACTCTCTCAATACCAATCTCAGGTGGACAGAGAAAGACAAGACAGGACTATCACCAGGGAAAGGAGCGGGTGGAGGGGAGTAACGAGTGGCACAAACCTGCTGCTGCGGGTACTGCATTCCTCCCATGGCCCCGGGGGTCCGACCCTGGATGCCCATGGGGTACCGCTGCGGGCCTGGGGGGCCGTAGGAACCTCCAGGGTAAGGGCTGCTCTGCTGAGGCTGGGAATGAGGGTTACTGCCCATCCCATACAACTGGGGCCTCTTCATCACCATGGGGTCCATCGGGCTGCCCTGTGAAGGAACAAATGAAGAAGCAGGCTTATTAAGTCAGCCTTTCTTACAAAGGCAGAAAGTTTGTTATGCTGACATATATATTACAAACACAACGATCCTTATGAAAATATTAAAAACAAAGAGCTGACAAAAACCCAGAAAAACATTAAGAAAAATACCTAGATGAATGCAAGACATTTTATTTTTTTACTTTTAGGAAGGTTTTAACAATGAAGAGGGGTCCCGTGTAAAGAACACAAGGAAAGATTCCTCATCCTAAGCGGAGAGGAAACATTTGCGTCTAAAGTTCTAGTGCACATACAGAAATGAGCAGGACAGTGACTCTCACGCCGCTCCTTCAGCTTACTAGTAATACAGGCAAAGTATGCTGAGTGGTTAGGAACACTTTCTGACTGCAAAGTATTCTTAGAACTACTTTATTTTAGACCTGAGTCTGCAAGTCCTTATCAAACATTAATGCACCTGAGTGCTCATTAGAAAGTGAAAGGACAGATTTTAAATAATACAGAAGGGCTGGGGTGAAAATTTTCAAAGATCACTAGTGCCCATGAATGAATAAGCACCAAGACTATGAGTCACAAACCACCTTTCCTATGTAAGTAAGCAACTTACCAAGTAACCAGTTCAAAACTAGACTTTACGTTTTATTTTTGGGTTAGTGAGTCAGCTGCGGGCCTCAGGGCCAAGGCCGTTCGGGAGAGTCAGAACTGGAGCCTCCTCCTGGGCTGTCACGCCCCAGGTGCTCGAAAGGAGCAAAGCAGGGGTGGGGCAGTGCAGTATTTACCCAACAGGCCGGTAGGCCCTTCCTTCCAAAGCCATATCTCTCTCCCTACTGCGTGCCAGACTCCGTGTTCACACCATGTTCATGGAAGCTCTCAGGAAGGACTGAGGGTTCGCAGGATGCATAGGAAGAAACAGGGTTCAGGGTTGGGAGGGACAGGGAGTAGCATACCACAAAGCAGAAGAAAGAGCATAAACAGGCACAGGCTTGGAGAGACGAGCTGCCCGGTGTGTGTGAGGAAACACAAGCAGTTGAGATCCAAAGGAAGCAGGAATTTACAGGGAAGCAGCCGAAGCTGGCAGAAGCCAGGGCTTGTAAGGGTGAGCCTTGCATGTCATTTTAAAGACTTCAGATAGTTCCTGGGGGCTAAAGAGAGAGTGGCAGTCAGGTCTGCATCTCAGGAGGCTGATCTCTCAGGCAGCCACAGAAGGCAGGTGAGCCGAGGTCCTGAACTGGTAGCAGCGTTGGACCAAGCAAGCCCAGCCTCAAGTTATAGGGTGGAAATGCAGCACAGCTTGGAGGCTGAGTGATAAAGAGTGGAGTGAAGGGCGGCTTAACAGATGATGAGACGCCATCTGAGACAGAGTTCGCAGGGGTAGAAGCTGACCAGCCCTCTCCTGGGAAGTGGGAGCCTTCAGTATTCTACACATGAAATTTGAGGTTCCTATAGGAAATCCAGGTGAAAACATCCAGAAGGAAGAGACGCAGTGATTTCCATCGGGGTGGCCAGGTGCGGCCTGGAACGACAACCAGGAAGGCAGGACACAGAGGACATGCACTCCTGGAGGGCAGCGACCTCTTGTTTTACTGTTATGTCTCCGGAACACAGGTCAAACAGTGCACTTGGCGCATAGTAAATGTTTAATAAACAGTGGGTGTATTAATGAACAGGAAACATGTAAAAACTTTTTAAAAAATTATCCAAGAATATATGAAAAGAGAACAATGGGTGGAGGACAGAGTTCTAAAACCTTATCGCCATTTCAGGAAGAAGGAAAAAAAGTCAGTCCACCAAGAGACCAGAAGAACAGTCAGAAAAGGCAGTCAGACACTCTCGGAGGCGTGGTGTTCCGCAGAGAAGAAAGCCCCGTGTAGCAACAGAGCAGGCCGGCCACAGGCAGCCCAGGTGCGCACCAGAAGAGGGCTAAGGGCTGCTGCAGGGCTGGAGGACGGCGGGGTGCGGGGGTGGGGGGGGCCGCTGCGGCCCTTGAGAGGGGCAGCCTTCTCACAGGGCGGGGGGCGGACGCTGAGACAAGCGAGGGCTGCAGACCCCAAAGCCATGGTGAGGAAGCTCAAAGAGCTGCCGGGCCTGCCTCCCAGCCACGCCCCACCAGAAGCTGCATGAGTCTCTGCTCTTCTCCCTTCTCGGGGTTACCCTCGTGCGCATTCTAACGGCCTGATTAATCCACCCACCCCACATTAACTGAATATCTACCATGCGCCCTGTGCCAGGAAGTGGGGCATAAAAATGAGCAAGTGCCAGCGGCTGTCCCGGAGAAGGGAACAACTCATTGAAGGAGAGGGGCCAAATGAAGATTACAGTGCCGTGCAGGGGACCTCCTGACTGGACACACAAGGCCCTCGGAACGGAGCATCTCAATGGGTCTGTGGTGGGTTTTACTTAACAAAACCTCCTCAGACGGCGCAATGAGCTCAGGCCCTGGGAGTCCGTGGGAGTTTGCAAGGACCTGGTCTACCCGAATTAAGATACATACACACCAAATAGTTCTGCTCAAAATTCACAATTCCATGGAATTTCCACGTGTTACTTTCACCCGTCAAAACAAAAACAAAAACAAAAACCATGTACTCAAGCAACATACTGATGTTACACATGTGCTGACTTCACGTATCAACATGCAAACATATGTTAATATATTGTAATAAAACTAAAATAGAGAGCTAGAAATTACATTTTCCCAGAATGATTTAAATTAGAATTTATGCCTAAAAAAAGCAAAATACAATTATTTTGCACACTTTGTTGCAAAATGTAATAAAATTTTCTATGAAAGTGTGAAAATCAAGGCTGAGCTGGTGATTTCAAAATCCACAGAATAAATGAATGGCCTACTGAGGGGTTGAGTAAAACTGATTTCAGGCTAAATTTTCAGTACAGGGCCCTGGGGCATCCCTATCTTCACATTCAGTCCGGATTAGCCAGGGCCCAGGGCAGCTCTGCTTATTCCGCTTTACGTATTGCAAGACCAACACTGTGTTAATTAAAGCAGAAATTTAAAATGGCAAAATGACTGGAATGTCTACATTTTAAATCTCTAGATAACAGTACAACAAATTCATCTTATCAATGACTAAAATGGTCTTGTGGTATCTTTTTCATCACTGCCATAAATTCTCACAGTCCTACTTAAAATTCAGTTTAATTTGCACCCATGTCAAAAAATGTTAGCTTAACTCTGAGATGTCTCAAAATCGAAAGCATGAAAAACACAGATTATCTGTACCCCTCCAAATGCATCAAACACCTTTCACTGAAACTTCAGAAATGAAAACAGATACTTACACAGTGCAAATTATTGAATTTTAACCATCTCTCCTTTTGCCCATTATTAAATATTCACCCACAATCCAAATCCATTCCCTGTGTACTCTTGCTATTTTTAAACATAAAATACATATAACTGCAGGATCTCAGCCCCTGCTTTTTGCAATTATCTCCTGAAAGAAACCAAAGACCAAATCAAATCTAAGACTTTTCCAAAAGCATATAAGCCAACCTGCTTCTCATAGTCACATCTAACCCCCCCCAAAAAAAATTTTTCTATTTCTATCATCTGTTGGTATATTCCAGAGTGTCTCCATTTTCATTTCTCACACACAATTTACACTGTATCAGAGACATCATCCACATTAAGAATAGTCCTCAAATATACTTCTCTCAATGTATTATTCCAAACATGTTTTTCCTTTCTAGATCTCATTTCACAACTGCTGCATTTTGAGCTTCAATTACATAAAACAAGTGTTCTGAAGGCCTCAGTATGAACCACCCATTTTCAAAGGCCCCTTTACATTACTATAGGTTATACATCATACACACATCCATATGAGTTATACGTTACACATCTCTCACACAGGCACATGTATGTATGAGTTATAGGTCGTACCTCTCTCCCTCTCTCTCTCGCGCGCTCACACACACACACACACACACACACCCTTTCCTGGATCTCCACCCCACCCCGCGCCCCCCAGGGAGCTGCCACAGCCGCCTCTACCCTCCAAAAGCCTCTGAAGGTCTCACATCCCTAGGACTACAAATAGGGAGGAGTACAATGTAGATTTTTTAAATGTGGTTTGGAATATAGATTCTGGATATATTAAGTAGCACAGTTAGGCTGCACTCTAGGTTAAAAAGGTTTTCAGAGGCTGGCCTGAGAATCCAACTAAAAACAATCACTTTGAGCATATGCTTTGGCTATACTTGACACTATAACACACTTTCTCTTTCATCACCGCTCTTTCAGAGTATGCCTACACATCTTTTTATAATAAAGAGATCTAATTGTATTTACTCCTAAATATCAAGTTAAGGAGGTAGTTTGTTAGTTTCTTCATGCATATAATATTTCACTCTTGTTTCAGTCCTATTCTTTAAACCACACACTAAAGAAAAGGCAGTACAAAAACCCACAGAAAGAAGAACCATCACAACGTCTTGATCTACAATCATACCTATACAGGATCTGGATTAAGCAAGAGCTCAGAGAAAGAAACTTTTCCCTTGTGAATCATTATTTGGGAAAATGTTCTATCTTAGAGCTAATTAAAGAAAACTTCTGAAGTAATATTTCATTATCTATGAAATGGTTTTGCCCAATGTGAGCAAATGAGTATTGGAACTAGCAGATAAAACTCTTTCTGAAGGACAGCTGGTCAACAAGCTTTGAAGATTTAAGAATTGTATCTGTTCCAACGCTAATGCTCTCTCTCAAGTGGGGCAAGGGTGCGATCTACCCCAACTCGTCCACAGCTACACAGTCCTAGCCCTGAGGGGAGACGGCAGGGTCTCGGGGGAAGCATGGGCTGCGGATCCACTGCGGATGCGTCCACTCCCTTACCCGCCACGTACCACTGCTGGGCGCACCTGTACACACTGCTTGTTTCTTAGTTTTCTCACTCACTAAATGGGAGAAATGACACCTACCTAACAATCATTGTCAAAACAGAACTAGTAAGCACTCTAAAGGATCTC